CACACACTCACATACACATGCACACGCATATTTACTTGCAGACACATATAAGCACTCACAAACATACACACACACACATATATGAACAGACGCACAGATATATGCACTCAGATACACTGAATCAGACATACGCTGACATAGACAGACACACACAGATGGATTCACTGTCATTGACAAACACACACACACACACACACACACACACACATACAAACAGAAAAGAGTCCTAAAACATAATTCAATGCAATAGCTTTGAAGTGGAGTCATTTTAGTGATATAGGAAGCATGGCAGTTAATTTGTACACAGCAAGCTCCCACCAACAGGAACATGTGATGTCCATATAATCTGGCCTCAGTGAAGTTGTTTGAGAGATAAATATTAGCCCCAGGCCACTAAGAATATCCTTCAGAATAACACCATTAGATATTTTCATTCTACCCTCGGAGAGAAGGCAGTTTAATGCTTCATCCAGAACATGAGCAAACTGTGGAAAAACAAAGACGATTGATGAGAAAAATGTCGATGCAAACAAGGATACAAGAAAATTGACCAGCCAATGTAAACTTCTACATTAGACAGTCACAATTTGTAGCAACCTACAGCACAGGTAATGTGCACAATTTTGCAGGAATGACAAACATTCCAAAATGTACTTTCTTCAAACCTTCACTTACGAGGGACAGAAATGAATAACTTACAGAGCAGCTCTGTGAAGTTTCCCTTGCTCAATTGTTAAAAGTACCACTGAACGTGAAACAATATTGACCTCTCCAGTGAAGCAAACTCTGTGTCTTGTTTGATGTGGAGCCAGAGATTGGGTCTGATAACAGCACATAGACAACGTGTTATCTGTCTCAGCGCCATCCTTCCATTGAAATTTAATCTGATCCTTTAATCTCCTACCCACTCCCCATACCAGCACTAAACTATTTCCCCAAAAGCAAGGGTGGAGCAGCATGCAAGATAAGACAATTTGGACACAAAGATGCCCAGTAGGATGCCTGTAGGTCTTCTCAAAACACAATCAAACAAACTAAAACAAACATGGAATGGAAATGTGTTTAAATTATTCCATTTCGTTTTGTTTCAGAAACTATTTCTCAGTAAGAATCAGGAGAAAATCTCTACACTAAAATGTTAGATTTTTATCCCAGTTTATTAGGAATCCTAATACACTTTCTGTTTCATATTACTTTGACGTTAAAGATTTGGAGGGATTTCCTCTTCCTCCTTCTCACAGGGTCATAGAGACTAAAAAAATTGCCCTTCATGTCTTTTTTAAATCTTTCTCCTCTCACCTTAACAATATGCCCCTGGTCTTAAAATCCCCCACCCAAGGGAAAGACATCACCTTTATCTATACGCCTCATGATCTTATAAATCTCTGTAAAGTCACCTCTCAACCTCCTATGTTCCAGTGAAAAAATGTCCCAACCTATCCAGCCTCTCCTTATAACTCAAACCCTCCCTTCCTTGCAACATCCTGGGGAAATCTCTTTTGAACCCTCTCCAGTTTAATAATGTCCTTCCTATAACAGGGCAACCAGAACTGGACACAGTACTCCAGAAGAGGCTTCGCCAACATCTGAACAACCTCAACATAACACCCCAACTCCTATGATCAAAGATGTAAGCAATGAAGGCAAGCGTGCTAAATGCCTTCTTAACCAGCTGAAATATTTCTGTCACAAACTTCAAGGAATCACGTACTTGCACCCCTAGGTCTCTGTTAACACTATCCAAGGCTATACTTTTAATTGTAGAAGTCCTGCCCTTGTTTGTTCTACCAAAACGCAACACCTTGCATTTATCCAAATTAAACTTCCTCTGCCACTCCTCAGCCCATTGACCCAATTGATCAAGATCTCTTTGCAATCTTAGATAACCTTCTTCACTGTCCACTATACCACAAATGTTGGTGTCATCCATAAACTTACTAACCACGCCTTCTATATTCTCATCTAAATCATTTATGTAAAAACCAAAAGAGAACCCAGCACAGATCCCTGTGAAACACTGCATTAAATTCCAAACGCTGCACAGCTAACAGAGGAGCACTCTTAAAAACTTCTCTCATGCAAAAGTCGAACCAGCATCATCAGAGAGGACCATGAACAGCACAGTTTGAGGGGTTTCTTCCAGCACTGCTCTGCTCAGCTATGTAATAAAAGCAAAATGTTGGAAATCTGAAATAAAAACAGTAAGTGCTGGAGATACTCAGCAGGTCTGGCAGCCTCTGCGGAGAGAGAAACAGCATTAACGTCCTGAGTCCTGGACAGTTCTGATGAAAAGTTCAGCCCCGTACACACCGTCAGCAACTAACCCTTGGCCTCTCACCTTCTTCAAGAGGAAGCAATGTGACAGCAATACTGAGGCGACCACTACCCAGGCTGACCAGGTGAGGTTTGTCCGTCTGTACCTTCAGCCCCTTGCCTGTGTCAATAAGGTCCAGAGGTGTGTTCTGACAGGAAAAGAAGAACAGCATGATGTCAGATGGCTTAGAATAACATAACGACACAAGAAATAGAAGCAGGAGTAATCTCTGGCTCCCTCGAACCTGCTCCTCCACTTCCTACAAACATGGCCAATCTTCTCAGCTTCGCTTTCCTGCCTGATTCCCCACAGCGTCCAAAAGTCGACTCAATTCAGTTTTGAACTGACTCAACGATTGAGCATCGTTGGCTCTCTGAGAGAGAGAATTCCAAAAGTTCACTGTGGGGAATTTTCTCTTCCTCAATTACAAACAGCTGATTCCCAATCCTGACACTCCACTCCTTCATTCTAGATTTTGTGACCAGGAAACAGTCTCTCAGTTGCCATCCTACAGAATGCAATCCTATCAAATACAATCACCTCTTGATCTTCTAAACACCAAGAGACTACAGACCCTTCAACTCCATAGCATAGACAATAGATCTGACATAATTAAAAACAGCATGTGCGCAGATAAGATATTTGGTTTTGGTTCAATTTGGTATGACAGGCATTTATAATGAAAGTTTCCACTGTAGGTGGCCAGCAACCATGATACGTATACTTAGGAGCTCCAATATGACTCAAAATTACTAAAGAAATAAACAAAATTCTCAGTAAGTGTGGTCTGGTGTCCTTTTCAATGCCTACGTTTGAAAATCCTCATTTCCTCAGTTTAAGTGCCCTTGCCCTCTCCTCATTGTGTTACCTCTTCCAGCCCCAAAACCATTACCCCAGCCCCTCCAGCCCCCGGAACACTCCATTTTCACAAGATCTTTGCCCCAGGGTGATTGTCTTAATTTGACTGCAGGAGGTGAAGTTGCCATTAAATAAATCCCAGTGGATCAAGAGCACGTTGGAAATCAATGCGGAGTTTGATATGTTTCTGATGCTGCTAATATGAAGGATATGGAAAGGAAATTACTTGCATTGATATAGCACCTTTCATGACCGAGGACACCTCAAATCTACAACTTTTTGAAGTGTTGTGACCAACGTAAGAAACCCAGCAGTCAATTTACACACAGCAAGATCCCATAAATAGACATAAAATACATAACCAAGCTGTTTAGGAGATTCTGAGTGAGGGATAAATGTTAACCAGGACACCAGGAGAGAACTCGCACTGTTCTGCCAGAGATTCTTCATGGCTACATGAGATGGTATCATCAGCATCAGTTTAATGTCTAATTTAACACTTGGCACTGCCAAGCAGTGCAGTATGTAATGAGAACACTGAGGCTGCAAGACAGATTCCTGAAAGCGGTTTGAACTCACCACCTTCTACTTCAACAGGAATGCCACCCACTGAGTTGGCACCTGCAGTAAAAAGCTATTAGCTTCTCTTTAATAGTGCCCAGGTAATATCTGTCAGCTCGTGTTGCCATGGCAGCTACAAATCCCACAAATTTTGACTCGTCCCCCAGCTGCCAAGGCCTGGCTATGTCTAATAGTTGTTACATTCCTCTGCAATAAACCCCATCACTTTGTTCTTTAGGCTATTTGTTCTAGACTCACATTGTACCTGCCCCAAGAATCTCCAGGCTGACCTGCTGGACAATCCGTCCATTTGCAGCAGAGACAAATCTCATTTTCTGGTTTATCCCCAAGGCTTTCTTCCTACTTGAAAGCACTGACCATTTCTGAATTACTGAGAGCTGTGTTGGTGAGAGTCTGCTTTGTAATCAACCTTTTCAGAGAAGTTATGGCACACCCTCTGGAGCAGGTGGGACTTGAGTCCTAGCCTCCTGGTTCAGAGGCAGGGACACAGTGGTGTGTGTGTGTGAGATTTGTGAGCGATTGTGTGTTTGTCAGTGTGTGTGAGTGTGTGTGTTTGCATGTGAGTCTGTGTGTGTGGATGTGTGTATAAGTGTGTGTGTGTGTGTGTGAATGTGTGTGTGTATGTGTATATATAGTGAGCGTGTGAGTGTGCATGTGTGTGAGTTCATGTGCGAGTGTGTGTGTGAGTGAATGCGCGTGTGGATGTGTGTGTGTGTGAGAGATGTGTGAACGATTGCGTTTGTGTTAGTGTGTGTGTGTGTTTGTTTGAGTGTTAATGTGTGTGTATGTGTATGTGAGCGTGTGTACGTGTGTGTGATTGTGTGAGTATGTATAAATATGCGTGTGCATGTGTATGTGAGTGTGTGTCAGCGTGTGCATGTATGTGTATGTGTATGTGTGAGTGTGATTGTGTGTGTTTGTATGCATCAATGTACATGTTTTGAATGTGCCTGTAAGTATCTTGCGTGTGTAAACTTGTATCTATACAATAACACCCTGTCGTTTACCTTCCCAGAGAATGCTATTTTCACAAATGTCTGTGCCTGAAGTGAAAAGATCATTTTTTCGTCTTTCCCCTGATTTAAAAACTGTGGATTAGCAATGATTAGATTCAATGTGACAAAAGTGTTGCACAGTATCATGCTGATAAACAAATGACAGGTCTTGACCTGTGTGCTTTCACATATATTAAAATCCTTGCCATTAAATTTATTCTGATTTCTTGTTACTGTTTTACAATTGAATAAACAAATGTGTCATTGGTTGAAAAGCACTTTGAGATTTTAAGCTGTAACAGGCATTATCGAAATGCAAGTTCTACCTTTCTTTCTGAAATGTTGTGAGTAATTTTTCACAGAGTTGTAAATGTTCCTGATATTGTTTAAATTTGCGAAGCGAGCACCCTCTGAGCATCATGTAGAAACGTGGTGATCGGAGATTATCTTTCCATCCCTTGATGAGGACAGTGGGACACACTATCTACAAATTAAGAGCTGCACTAATAAGATTAACATTATCCCAATACAGCGAATCTGATTTGGAACACAATAGAGTGATGAAAGATAGTTTTTGCAGTCAGTACATGCAATGGTGTATCAGTTGCATGCATTAATGGTGTTGAGATGGAGGTGTTTGTGAGCTTCAAGTACCTGGAAATAAATGTCACCAACAATCCATCCTGGTCCATCCATGTTGACACGACGGTCAAGAACACACCAACGTCTCTGCTTCCTCATGAGGCTAAGGAAATTCGGCATGTTCACAAAGACTGTTATAGATGCACCATAGAAAGCATTCTATTTGGATGCATCACTGCTTGGTATGGGGAACTGCTCTGCCCAAGATGGCAAGAAATTACAGAGTCGTGAGCACAGCCCAGACCAACACACAACCAGACTTCCTTCCATTGACTGGTTGGACCAAACGGTCAGTTTCCATGCTGTATGACTCTATGACTCTATCTACACGTTCCACTACACTTCCTGCTCCATCTACACTTCCTGCTTCCTGCAACCAACAAAATCAAAGGTCCCTCCTACCTTGTTTATACTCTCTTTCACCCTCTTCCATCAGGCAGAAGATACAAAAGTTTGAAAACACGTACCAACAGATTTAAGAACAGGTTCATCCCCACTGTTATCAGAGTTATGAACAGACCTCTCATATATTGGAGTTGATCTTTCTCTGCACCTTCTCTGTAGCTATAACAAGATATTCTGCATGAGGTTGTAGACATGCTCACCAAGCCGCTGGGTTTCGTTGTAAACGTTTTGTCACCCTGCAATGTAACATCGTCAGTGCACCTCCGGTGAAGCGTTGGTGTTCTGTCCCACTTGTTATTTATCTGCCTCGGTTTACTGCGGTGGTTGGTATTACTTCAGGTCCTGTTTCTCAGTGGTTTGTACACAGCGTCTAATTCAATGTGTTTGTTGATGGAGTTCCGGTTGGAATGCCAGGCCTCCAGGAATTCCTTGGCGTGTCTGTGTTTGGTGTGTGCGATTATGGATGTGTTGTCCCAGTCAAATTTGTGACCCTTGTTGTCCGTGTGTAGTAAGACCAGTGAGAATTGGTCGCATCTCTTGGTGGCTAGTTGTGTTCATGTATCCTTATTGTCAGTTTTCTTCCAGTTTGACCTATGCATTGTTTCTCACAGTCATCGCATGGTATTTTGTATATTACACCGGTTTTGCTGGTTTTGGGTATGGGATCCTTCACGTTTGTTAGTGGCTGTTGTAGGGTGATTGTTGGTTTGTGGGCTACTCTGATACCTAGGGGTCTTAGTGGTCTTACGGTCATCTCGGATATGTCCTTGATGTACAGTCGGGTGATTAGTGAGTCTGGTCATGTTGTGTCTTCCTGCAATGGTCTATCTTGGGGTAACAGCGGATTGAGCTTTTCGGATATCTATATCTTTTGAAGACTCTGTAAAAGTGCTCCTGTTTTGCTCTGCGTAGTTCCGGGTTGCTGCAGTGTGTTGTGGCTCATTTAAATAGTGTCCTGATGCAGCTCCATTTATGGGTGTTGGGGAGGTTGCTGGTGTAAGTAAGTATCTGGTCGTTTTGTATGGTCTTTCTGTATGCGCTAGTCTGGAGTTCCCTGTTGTTTTTGGGTTCTACCATTATGTCCAGGAAGGGTAATCGGTTATTGTTCTCTCCTTATTTTGTGAATTTTATCCCAGTGAGGATGTTGTTTAAGTCTCAAGAACTTTAAACTATGTTCTGCATTCTGGTGTATTATCTTGATGTACTTGTGTAAGGTATGATTTGTACGGTTAACACACAAAACAATACTTTTCACTGTATCTTGGTACACGTGACAATAATAAATCAAATCAACCAACTCACTCAACAGACGGACAGACACAGCATTGTTCAGTATCAGGGATGGCATCTGTGGAAATGCTGATATCTGTATTTAATCAGCAGCTGCAGGGACCACGAGACAGCATTGTGGGCAAAGTGGGAAATCGCATTTAACAATGTAATTCACTCTGCGCTGAGCTGTCACTCACTGGGTGTTCAAATCTCACTGCAGAGATCTGAGCATGTAACCATGACTGACAGTCCAGGGCCAGTAACAGGGAGTGCTGTGCTGTTGAGGATGCAGACTCCTGGGTGAGGTACTGAACTCAAAGACCTTACTGGTCTTGCCAACATGTGACTCCAGACCCGTAATAATGTGGCTTCACTCCCAGTTGCCCTGTAACAAGTTACTAGGTTCAAGGTCAGATAGAGATGGGCAATAAATGTTTGCCTTGTAAGTTACACCCACACCCCATGAAAAAATAACATGACTGGGATGCCGCTTGTCTGAGTTTCCCTTGATGTGAATTTTGGTTGCTATTTAACACAGACTGTGTCTTTTTAAAAATTTAGCCCAGATAGGTACATAAATTATTTGGTTTATATGGTTTCAAGTCAAATGTTGTGGAATGGGTACCTAAAGTAACTCTCCAAATTCAGTTTTGGACAACATTCATCAACTGAGTATGGGTCACAGCAGAGACAAGTTAATTACATACAAACATACAAACTAAAAGCACACATAGATCATTCAGCCCCTCAAGTCTGCTCCGCCATTCCATAATAGTCATAGAATATTACAGCATAGAATGAGGCCATGTGGTCCATCATGTCCATGCCAGTCATCAAGCACCAATCTATTCTAATTCCATTTCCCAGCTCTTGGCCCATAGCCTTTTGGCTGTGACATTTCAAGTGTTCATCTAAATACTTCCTAAATGTTACAATGGTTCCTGCCTCTGTCAAAATTAAAAATTCCCCCTTTTTCTCTGTCTTAAATGGGAGGCCACCTTTTGTTTAAACAGTGCCTCCCAGTCATTGTCTCTCCCACAAGTAACATCATCCTTTCTTCACCTGTTTCTTCCTTAAAAGTTTTATCTCTACTTTACCAGCACCTGTTATGAAAGTCACACTTGTTTTTTTTTATACTTTAGAAAAGAACAAAATTATCTGCACTTTTACAGCTGCTTGCACTATTTCAGAATGTGCCAAAGGTTTTCAGTGGGACATAGATGTTGGAGAGAATGAGAGACAGACCAATCAGCATCCAGTTCATGCAAGCAACAACGAGATAACACAAAAACCTGCTTTAGTGACTGCACACAGAGAAAAACTGTATTTTCATGGCACCTTCACAATATCACATTTGGTGACAGAGCATTTTACATAAATGCCAAAGATACTCAGCAGTCAATTTGCACACAGGATACTCTTGCTAACAATAATAATGATGTGGAGGTGCCTGTGTTAGACTGGCTTGGACAGGAATAGAAGTCACATGACACCAGGTTATAGTCCAACTGGTTTATTTGAAGTCACAACCTTTCGGAGCACTGCCCTTTGTCAGGTGAAGTGAAGGGAAGCACACATTTGTACTATCTTTTGATCTCACTGCCTATAAATTCTGTGCCTGTGTGCTTCCCTTCACTTCACCTGATGAAGGAGCAGAGCTCCGAAAGCTTGTGATTTCGAGTAAACCTGTTGGGCTATAGCCTGGTGTCATATGACTTCTGACCTTAACAATAATAAGTCTGACCATATAATATGTTTAAGGGGAATTAGTTATGGAAAAATATTAACCAGGAGACCAGGAAGGACCCTCCTCCTCTTCCTCAAGATAGTGGCATGGGATTCTTTATGTCTAGGTGAGAATGATAATGTCTCATCAATGTCTCATCGACTCTTATACCTAGCATGTTATTTCAGACATTTGGTTTATCTCCAGCACCACTTTATTTTCAATATTTTGTAATTATCTCTCTGCCTTATTTAATCAGATTGTAGGTGATCCCTTTGCTTGTTATTCAGCTGTTGGCACTTTACTCACACCATCTGACACTCTTGATCATCTGCAAAGACTTATTATTCGACACTCCACTCATACCAGTTGTATGATCTTTTGATCTCTGTGTCCTTGATCCCTCTGCCTATAAATTCTGTGTCTGTGCACTGCTCTTTCACTTCACCTGACGAAGGGGCTGCACTCTGAAAGCTTGTGATTGCAAATAAACCTATTGGACTATAACCTGGTGTCATGTGGCTTCTGACTTTGTGCACACAATGTCTCATCTGGTAGGCAGCACCTCTGGCAGTGCAGCACTCCTTTCAGTACCACACTGGCAGTATTGATCTGGATTGTGTGCTCACGTCCAATATACAGCTTTAAGTGTTGAGAGTGTTCGACACTGAGTCACGGCTGACAGAATTACAATGAAACTGAACCAGGTGATGAAGTGGCTGTGGTGATATTTTATACTTCACTGGACCTCATTGTAAATTAGTCTATCTCAGAATCTGCTGTCTGTGCTACTTTGACCAAAGATCAAACCGACTGCAAATATACAAGTTCAGTCACTGTTATTGCTCAGCTAGCCCGTCTTACCTGAATGATTTTCTGTGATTTTTTGGTTTGGCTAACCGTGTTTCTGTTTGTTTTGTCCATGATCGCGTCATTTACAATTGCTCCTTCACACTCCTGGATATCCTGAAAGGAAAAGAGAAGAGTAAATGTTACTTTTGTTTAAATTCTCACATTGTGCACTTCCCAGGATTTCTTCATACAGTACTCTCAGCTGTCAATTAATGGACTGGGGAGTCAAATCCCACTCCCCCCACAGAATTGAGCGCAAAGTCTAGACTGACATCCCAGTGCACTACTGAGGGGGTGCTGTATTGTCCTCAGTGCTGTCTTTCGAATAAGACATTAAACTGAGACTGGTCTTCCCTCTCAAGTGCCACTTATTTGAAGAAGAGCAGGAGATTTCTCCTCTATAAACATTACAACAGAAACCTACTTTAGGCTAAATAAAATCCAAAAGGACTGCGGATGCTGTAAATCAGGAACAAAACCAGAAGTTGCTGGAAAAGCTCAGCAGGTCTGGCAGCATCTGTGAAGAAAAAATCAGAGTTAACATTTCGAGTCCTGTGACCCTTCCTCAGAACTAGTTCCTGGACCTGAAACGTCAACTCTGATTTTTTTCTTCACAGTTGCTACAAGACCTGCTGAGCTGTTCCAGTAACTTTTGTTTTTAAACCTATTTTAGGCTCTGGGTACAAACTCTGATAGTTCACTTCCCCCAATCCTGCTGTCTATGCTGAGTCTAATTGTCATTGGTAGAGGACAGACCACGAGAGAGACTTAAGTAGAAGAGCCATTTGTCTTCCATAACCAAGTGTAGTTTACTGCACGATAGCAATAGATACAATCAACTGATTAGGCAAAACCACAAGTATCAGGAGCCTGGGATGACCTGTCTATCTCCCTCAGGACTTTATAGAAACCTGCCCTTTTCTCCATCATAACACCAAGTGACATCATCAAATTGGGTGGAACTTAATGTAATTTCAACATATTTCAGAACCCTTACGTTACACAACGCTGTAATCCTTCAGCGCTGCCGTAACCTGTCAGCATCAATGTTGTACTCATATTTAAATTAGAGCTTAACCCACACTCTTTGTGATTCAGGGGAGTTAGTGTTACCAAACTGATATTGATGAAAATAAATCAAATGGAAGAAAGACTGGTCAGTATATTGCAGTTGGCTGTGGTTTTTGAGAATAAATCAGCTGATACAGGCTATCTCCCACATTTGGGCCTCATTTATTATCAAAGGTTGTTCCTCAGAGAGCAGGAGGTATACATTCGAAAGGCAACTTCCATTCTTCATATCAAACTTGAAACATTAACTTTGTTTCTCTCTCTACACATGCTGCCAGACCTGCTGAGTTTCTCCAGCACTTTCCATTTTTGTCTCAGATTCCCAGCATTTGCAGGATTTTGCTTGTATACCCTTCAGAGGTCAGGGTTACGTCTGGATACAGACACTCAAGAGGGTGCAAGAAAAGATTGACCGTGATGCTAGCAGAACTGAGAGTTTATATAAACATCAGGAAAGCTGAACAGGCTGGAGCTGTTTTCTCCAGAAAAGAGAAGACTCACAGGTCCTGTTAGAAGTCTTTAAAATAATGAAAAGGCTTCGTATGATAAAGAGAGAGAATAGGTTTCTGTTTGTAACCAGAAATAGAAGACCCTCACTAATAAATTTAATCAGGAATTCAGGATAATCCTCTTCATCCAGGGACTGGGGAGAAGGTAGAACCTGCTCCTGCAAGGGCTGGTTGAGTGAACAGTATTGATGTGTGTAGAGGAAGCTAAATAAACACACAAGGTAAAAGGGAATTTTTCAAATAATAATAATGATAAAAACAACTACAAGATAAAGTCAGGAAGCCAGAGGCTTGAGGGGAGCATGGACACCCAAGTGACTGACCTGTTCCTGTGCTGTGACTTCTCCTCAATTATTTTATTTTATATCCAACTGGATGAACAATAGACAGGAGCCACACATTTCCAACAGTCCTAATGGAATCTCTCAGGGTCTGGATACCATCAGAAGTATAGAATTCCCCATCTTATAAAGGATTGTGCACACAGTGTTAGGATGAGGATTCGTTTGTTCAGATCCCTTTCAGACTAGGCATGGGTATATATGAACTCCTGGACTGGTTTTGACAGCTGGAAGTTGGTTAGAGAGAAATGTCTTCTCAGTTGGCTCTAGGATACTTATTTCCTTGATGATTCCAAAGTAAGGGATCAGTTGCGAGGTTTCTGAGCCCAGAATCTTTGGGTACTACATCTGTATGGGACACGCAGGACAGACAAGTGACTCCAGGTCCCATTTATACATCACCCACCACCCCCCCAACCACTCACTCACCTACACTGGCTCCAAGTCCAGCCACACATTGATGTTATGATCCTAATCCATCTTTTCAAATCCGTCTATGCTCTCTTCCCAGTCCTATCACTGTAACCTTGTCTAGCCCCACAAACGCTCTCAATCTCTGTGCTCCACTCATTCTCGCCTCCTGCACATCGTCAGTTCCAACATCCCCACCCACTGGAAGTCTTGTCATCACCTGCTGAGGCTCGGAGCTCAGGGATTGAGGGGAGGTATTGGTATAGTTGACCTAGTAATCCAGAGCTCCAGCTGATGCCCTGGGGCCATAGATCCAAATCCCATAGATGGCAGATGGTGAAATTTGGTATCAGTAAAAATCTGGAATTTAAGAAAAAAAAACTAGCCTAACACAGACCACTGTCATAAAAATCCAGCTGGTTCACTAATGCCCTTTAGAATAGTGCGTCTCCCTAACAAAGAACTGGAGATCTGAAACAAAAACAGAAACTGCTGGAGAAACTTTGGCAGCACCTGTGAGAGAGGAAGTGAGGTTAATGTTTTTGATTGTGATCTTTTTTGTCCCATACCTGCCTGTCTGAATTCCACGTGACTCCAGACCCACAGCAATGTGGTTGGCCCTTAAGTGTCCTGTGAGTAATTAGAGATGGATAATTAATGCCAGCCTAACCAGCAATGCTCACATCCTATGGCCGGATTTTTTTTGAAAAACCCTTCCTAAAGGATTGCTGTCCCTGAGGAAGTGAAGATTTGATCGACGTGTTCAAACTTTTGAGAGGTCTGGACAGAAGAGAAAGTGAGAAACTGTTCCCATTAATGAACAAACCAAGAATGAGAGGGCGTAGATTTAAACACCAGGTGAAACCTTTTTTATACAGTCAGTGTGCAGGGCCTGGAAAAGGTCCTTCTTGTGGCTCAGTGGTAGTGTCCCTACCCCTGAAACAGGAAAAGGACCTGGTTTCAAATCCCACCTGCTCCAGAGGTGTGCAATAACATCACTGAACAAGCTGATTAGGAAAAATAGGTTAGTAAAATCTTTTATTTTTTTAAATTTAGGGTATGGAATGTGCTGCCTAGGAGTGAGGGCAGGTTCAACCAAGGCATTTGAGAGGGAATTGGATTGTTTTCGGAAAAGGAAGAAGGTGCAGGGTTATGGGAAGAAAGTGGGGAATGAATTGTTTCCTTGAAGGGTTAGCGTAGCCTTCCTTCTGATTCTAACTATTCCCCGATGGTGCAATTGTATGATCCAGTTTTCAATCCTTCCAGAGTCACTGAAACATTTCTCCTTTCTGCTGCACGGTTCTGGTAATGAAGAATGAATTCCCGATGTCAATAAACTTTGGTTTACAGTGAAGCCTGTTAATGGTTAAAAGCATTAAACCAGCAGAGACACAAACAGGGATAATCCAGGATATTATTGACCAGTGAGCTTTACCTGCCGAAGGAGCGGTGCTCTGAAAGCTCGTGATTTCAAATAAACCTGTTGGAATATAACCTGGCGCTGTGTGACCTCTGACTTTGTCCACCCCAGTCCAACACCAGCACCTCCACATCAAGTGAGCTTTACATCAGTGGTCGGGAAATTATTGGAAAAAATTCTTATAGACAGGATTTACTCGCATTCGGAAAAGAATGGGTTAGGGATAGTCAGTGTGGCATTGTGTAGGGAGGGGACCTTGTCTCACAAATTTGATTGAGCTTTTTGAGGAAGAGATGAAGATGGTTGATGAGGGAGGGGCAGTGTGTGTCGACCATGTGGACTTTACTAAAGCACTTGGCAAGGACCGTCATGGTAGGCTGGTCCAGAAGATTAAGTCACATGAGATTCATAGTGAGTTGGTAAGTTGGATACAAAATTGGCTTGGTCATAGAAGACACAGGGTAGCTGTGGAGGGGTGCATTTCTGACTGGAGATCTGTGTCCTGTGGTGTTCCACAAAGTTCCGTACCGGGACCTCTGTTGTTTGTAATTTATATAAATAATTTGGATAAAAATGTAGGTGGTCTGATTAGTAAATTTGCAGACGACATGAAAATTGGTGGAGTTGTGGATAGTGAGGAAGGTTTTCAAAGCATACAATAGGATACAGATCAGCTGGAAAGTTGGGTGGAGAAATGGCAGCTGGAGTTTAATCCGGGCAAGTGTCAGGTGATGTATTTTGGGAGGTCAAATGCGAGAGAAAAGTATACAGTAAATGGCAGGATCCCTCGGAAGTTTGAGTCCTTCTGCAATTGATTTGTTTTCACTCGAGTGTCGGAGGCTAAGGGGCGAACTAATAGAAGTATATAAGATTAAGAGAGGCATGGATAGGGCAAAATCTTTTACCCAGCGTGGAAATGTCAAATACTGGGGGACACAGGTTTAAGATGGGAGCGGAAAAGTTGAAAGGAGACATGAGAGGAAAGTTTTGTACACAATGGTTGGTAAGCCCCTGGAACTCACTGCTGGGGGAAGAGGTAGAAGCAGATAGTATAGCTACATTTAAGAGAGATAGTAAGAACTGCCAATGCTGGAGTCAGAGATAACACAGTGTGGAACTGGAGGAACACAACTGGTCAGGCAGCATCAGAGGCAGCAGGAAAGCTGACGTTTCAGGTCGGGACCCTTCTGCAGAAATTTGAGAAGGGTCCCAACCCGAAACATCAACTCTCCTGCTCCTCTGATACTGCCTGGCCTGTTGTTTTCCTCCAGCTCCACACTGTGTTACCTATAGGTACGTTTAAGGGGCATTCAGATAGACACATGAACAAGGAGGAAACAGAGGGATACAGACCGTACGCAG